TGGACTAAAAGATGAAGCAGAATATTCCAGGAATGCAGAACAAAGTGATGAAGATGAAAAATATGAAAGGAAAGTTAAGAGACATGGAGTTCTCACACTGTTTTATAACCATTCCAGAGGGGAAGAATAAAAAGAGTGAAGATAGTCAATATTTAATTATGTAGAAGTTGGGAAATTTTATAGGTAGATCTCCTAGTCCTATAATTGAAAAGATCCACCATATGTTGAGCAGGATAAAAATAAAGAAAGGAACCTAGACATGCTTTAGAGAAATGTCAGCATTTTAAAGACAGTGAGGAACTCCTGAGAAAATCAGAGTAATGACAGCTAATGAAAAAGAGAACAAGGAACAGGTGGATAGCAGCACCTCACTAGCAAAGGTCGATGCAAGAAGAGAATGGAATAATCTATTCAACATGCCAAGGGAATATGACTGGAATTCAAAAGTCAATCACTGAAGAATGGGGGAGAATAACATTCATTCCTCATAATGTCAGGAAAGCATTATGGGACTTCCCTGGTGGTGCAGTGGGTAAGGATCTTCCTGCAAATGAAGGAGACACAGGTCTGATCCCTGGTCTGGGAAGACTCCCCTGCTCGCTGCAACTAGAGAAAGCCCGTGTGCAACCACAAAGACCTAGCACAGCCAAAAACAGAATTAAAACAAGAAAGCATTATGGACACAAAAAAGGGCCTGCCCTTCGTTAAGGACTGAAATGTATGGACCCGTCGTGCATGTGTGTGTGTTTGCAATGCTATGGACGGCAGCATGCCAGGCTCCTCTGTCCATGGAATCTTTCAGGCAAGAATACTGGAGTGGGATGCCATTTCCTCCTCCAGGGGATCTTCCCAAACCAGGGATCAAACCCATGCCTCCTGCGCTGGCAGGCGGATTCTTTACCACTGAGCCACTTGGGAAGCCCACACATCCCCACAGAAACCACCAAAAGGGTGGAGAAGGGACACCATTGTGAACCCAGGGAGGCTTCCCAGACGAAGCAGGGATGTGAAGAATAAGTCGGATTTTGATATGCCAAGTTTCATTCAAAGAATGGCCTTGAGTGCCTTCCATGAGAAAGCAGGTAGCGGGCTAAGAGCTAGGTTAAAGGCAGAGAGCAACAGGGAAGCCTAGCGTGCTGCAGTCCATGGGGTCACAGAGAATCAGACATGACTTGGTGATTGAACAACAACAAAAGGCAGAGACAGCAAGAGATGCGGGGCAGGGGTTCAGAGGAAAGCAGTGAAAATAAGGCTGATCAGTAGTGGGAAGAGGAACAGCCCTTGATGGGGAAAGATGTTTCATATCCGAATAACGTACATGTTTTGCAACAGCAAAATGGGAGAACTGGGCATAGAATTTATCTTGAAACCCAAGCAGGGTATCTTGAGAGTTTGCTCTGTGGACTTGAAGTTAGTAAGAACAGACTGGGAGAAAAATAATAGGAGCAGATAAAAACCCTTTTAGAGTCTTGGAGGTATTTCTACTGTCCCCTCAGTTTCTCTGTGAGAATTGGGATTTGAATTTTATAAAAATAAGTTTGAAAGGCTTCAACTCAGGTTCTTTAAACACCACTTCAGACAGCCCCCCTGATGTCTGCATGGACTGAAGAACACTGGGTCTAAGAAGTTTCTGGAGCAGCTTGGGCAGAATCAGTGGTGGAGAGGTGCACAATGTACCTAAGGGAAGCATCTCCTCCTGGGCTCACTGGGCCCCTATCCCAGGACGTGAGAAGAAGAGAGAAGGAGGCAGGAGGTGTCGGAGCTGGAGAAAAATGGTGGGTGCTTTGGAGGTCTAGAAAAGGGACTGAAGACCCTTAGGGGACTTCCCTGGTGGTCTAGTGATTAAGAATCCACCTTCCACAGTCTGGATGGGAGGGAAGTTTGGGGGAGAATGGATACATGCATGTGTATTGCTGAGTCCCTGACTGTTCACCTGAAACTTACAGCATTGTTTGTTAATCAGCTAGTGGTGGTGTTCAGTCGCTTGGTCCCGTCTGACTCTATTCTTTGTGACCCTATGGACTGCGGCACATCAGGCCTCCCTATCCATCACGATCTCCCGGAGTTTGCTCCGACTCATGTCCACTGAGTCAATGATGCCATCCAACCATCTCATCCTCTGTTTCCCCCTTCTCCTTCTGCCCTCAATCTTTCCCATCATCAGGGTCTTTTCCCATGAGTCGGCACTTTGCATCAGGTGGCCAAAGTACTGGAGCTCCAGCTTCAGAATCAGCCACTCCCCAATACAAAATAAGAAGTTAAAAAAAAAAAAGATCAGCTTTCCAAAGCAGGGCACATGGGTTCTGTCTCTGGTTGGGGCACTAAGATCTCATAAGCTGTGGGGCAACGAAGCCCACACATGGCAACCAGAGAAGCCCACGTGCCATAAGGAAGCCCCCGCACGGCCAAAAAAAAGACCCTGAGGACACATACCACACCCATGCACTGGCTCAAGACCATCTGCTCACTCTCTGCACCCTCCATTCATTCAAATGTGCGTTCATAAAGGGAACGGCTCTCTGAGTACCTACTGTGGACCAGACAGGGTCAGAGGCAAGAATGAAGAGGAAAACATTCCCTGGTTTTCTGGGTATTGGTGGCAGGCTAGTGGGGAGATGGATTTTCATTGATTTAACAAGATTTATTGCAAGTCCACATGTGCCAGCCACTGTGCTAGCTGTGGTGGTAAAGAAGTAAAAACAGATATGCTCTCCATCCTCCTGAGATCCTCAAATCCTGGGCAGATAAACAGCAGGCTGCCAATACATCTGGTTCTAATCTGGAGACAGACAAGGTTCAAATTCTGACTCTGTCACCTTTTGGCTGTGTGATTTTGAATAGCACCTTTTTTCTGAGCCACAACTTCCTCATCTGAAAAACAGGGATTGAACCATTCCTGCCTCATAAGAGTAAATGACAATATGCTCAAGGGAGACACAGCCTGTGAGGTGCTGAGTGCTGTGGCTGGCACCCAACTGCTTCTCCGTTACTTACGGACTTCCCTTCAAGCTCTAACCCCGTGAGAAAGAGAAGAGAGATGGGAGAGGAGAGAAAATAAAAGGAGAGAGAAGAGGCAAGCAGGGAAGGAGGTGATAAAAACAATACAAGCTAGTCACAAAGGCCACATAGTATATGATTCCATGCATATGAAAGGCCCCAAATCAATAAATCTATGGACACAGAAAACAGAGAAGTGGTTGCCTAGGGCTGGGGCAGGGGCACTGAGAGGGAATGAGGAGAAGTGGAGAGGGGCTGCGAGCGTGCACAGGGCTTCTTACGTGGGTGATGAGCTGCTCTCACACTGATTATGGTGATGGTTGCACAACTCTCTAACTATACTAAAAAACCACTGAATTTTATACCTTAAACCACTGACTTGTATGGTGTGTGAATTATATCTCAATAAAGCTGTTACCAAAATTAAAAACACACAGAAGTAGGAGCTGGTGCCTAGACCAAGAATCACAAGTAGTGTAAGCTTGTATACAGCAAAGGAAACCATGAACTAAAGGAAAGGACAGCCCACTGGGAAAGAATATTTACAAATGATGCAAATGACAAGGCTCAATTTCCAAAATAAATAAACAGCTCATTCAACTCAACAACAAAAAGCAAACAGGCCAATTGAAAAAAGGGCAGAAGACCTAAAGAGACATTTCTCCAAAGAAGACACAGAGATGGCCAACAGGCACATGCAAAGATGCTCAATATCACTAATTACTAGAGAAATGCAAACCAAAACTACAATGAAGTATCACGTCACATGGGTCAGAATAGCCATCATTAAAAAAATCTACAAATCTACAATAACAAATGCTGGAGAGGCTGTGGAGAAAAGGGAAGCCTCCCACACTGTTGGTGGGAATATAGATGGGTGCGGCCATTGACAGAACAGTAAGGAAGTTCCTCACAAAACCAAAAACAGACTTGCCATACGACTTAGCAACCCCACTTCTGGATATACATCCAGACAGAACTATAACTCGAAAAGATAAGCAATCAATGTTCACTGCAGCACCATTCACAGCCGAAGCACAGAAACAACCTGAATTCCACTGATAGATGAATGATAAGTGATAAAGATACAGTGTGTGTGTACATATATAGAGATATGATGGAGTACTACCCACTCACAAAAAATGAATGCCAACTGCAGCGATATGGATGGCATGGAATTATTGTACTAAGTGAAGTAAGTNATAAAGATACAGTGTGTGTGTACATATATAGAGATATGATGGAGTACTACCCACTCACAAAAAATGAATGCCAACTGCAGCGATATGGATGGCATGGAATTATTGTACTAAGTGAAGTAAGTCAGAAGGAGAGAAACAAATATGGTATGATATCACTTATGCGTGGAATCTAACATGACATAAATAGGGACTTCCCTGCTGGTCCAGTGGGTAAGACTCTGTGCGCCTAATACAGGGTACCTGGGTTTGATACTTGATCAGGGAACTGGATTCTACATGCCACGACTAAGACCCAGCACAGCCAAATAAATAAATACTTAAAAAATTAATAATAAAAAAATAAAAATTAAATATGACATAAATAAACTTATCTGTGAAGCAGAAATAGACTCACAGACATAGAGAACCCAGCTGTGGTTGCTAAGGAGATGCGGGAGTAGAAGGAAGGATGAATTGGGAATCTGGGGTCAGCAGATACAAAGTATTACATGTAGTACGGATAAACAACAGGGTTCTCCTGAACAGCACAGGGAACTATATTCAATATCCTGTGATAAACCATATGGTAAAGAATATGAAAAAGAAAATATATGTAACTATTGGGTTGGTCAAAAAGTTTGTTCAGGTTTTTCCGTAAGATGTTGTCAAAAACCTGAACAAACTGTTTGGCCAACCCAATATACCCAAATCACTTTTTGGCACCACAGAAATTAATACAACATTGCAAGTCAACTATACTCCAAAAAAAAAATAAGAAAGAAAAGAACCACAAGTAGGCAGAAGGACACCAGGTCCACTCACCTCAACCTTCAGGCCTGCCTGGAAGCTGATGCCATCAGGGATGGTCGTCTGGAATTCGGCAATGGTGTAATACTCTTCCTCCACTTGGGGTGGGATGGGAGGCTTGGGCAGGTTGAGACCTCGAGGCTGGTTCAATTAAAGACAGTGTTAAATCCAATATAACTGCATCCCCCAGGCTGAATAAGGGGCTAAGGGGCTGGGGCCCACAATCACCCTTCAAGGGGTGCTGGTGGGCCCATTTGGATTCTAAGGGACAAAACAAAGGGGATCGCTCAGATCATCATCTTCTAGATGCGTCACTGGCCCTTCCCCTTTAGGGTGATAAGAAAAAACACGGGACATTTGCCTACAGTCATGAAAATCGAGTGCAAGACAATATTCTCTGAACTTAAGAGATAACGAGGGTTGTGAAATGAACACAAGTTTCCAAGTCAAGACACATTGGCGAGACTTTGGGCAAAGCCCTTCCCCTCCTGAGAGCCTCAGTTTCATCTCCTGTAAAATGGGGATAATAACAGGATCTACCTGGTGGGGTCAGCATGAACATTCGATGATTTCACGTAGTGAAATACGAGCACTCTGCCTAGCACCCAATAGGTGCTCAGTAGATGGCAGACACTAAAAACGAGAGGCCCATTTTTCACAGTACTGCTTAGAAAGGTACCTAAGAATTAAAAATGGAATATGAGAGCAAAATGCCAGAATGGCACCATAAGAGAAATGTGTGCCTCATTCTATTTCAGTCTCAAGTCACCTTACTGGAGAAGACTCATTTAAGACAAAGCAGAGTGGGCTCAGGAGGCAGAGAGCACACGCCCAGGCCTAACTGTCACAAAGCCATAAGCAGACTGTGTGATCTCCGGGACCTGCATTCCTCCACCTGTCAATGGGATTAGCGTCACAAGGCTGCCGTGTAAAAGAACGCAACCTTGGGAAGGGTGAGGTGAATGTGGGGGGCCAGTCTTCGGCCAGGGGCTGGCTCCCCAGTTGCAAGGGTCCACTTACTATGGTCATATCCCGGCGAGGAGGGGGCCTCTGCCTCATCTTGGGTGATCCTATAAAGAGACGAGATCTTGTTTCACACACGATGAACATAATCCCTGAGGTGGACACCAAGACAGATCTAACCTCCCCTGCAGGAGATGAGGTTACGATTTGCACAGGCATCAGGGAGCAGCCGTGACCCTTCCTGGGGGAGGAGCCTGGCGGGGGCGGGGCCACACAGACTGGGTCCAAGACTCTATCAGCGAGGGGATGCTTCTGAGTCCTGGAGCGACGGAAAGCCTTCCAGGAAAGGCAACAACTTATGTGACTTTGAGCCATGTGGCCCTCTTCTGAGGAGTGGGGATAACGCCTGCCTCCTGGAGGTAGCGGTGGAGATGAAAGTCAACGGTACAGGCTCGGCTCTCGGCATGTGGCAGGGACGCATTAATGTTACTGCCCCTGTCTTTGTTGGCTCCGGAGCAAACCCAAATTAAATAATGCATGAACAGAGCCAAACAAACTTGGACTGATGATTTCAGGGTTTTTACTCTGGAATTGGGCTGCCCCTGCTCTGGGTCAGGAAGAGGATGACTCTGCAGTGGGCCAATGCTCCTGGCTAAAGGCAGACTATTGAGGAAGGCACCCACAGGCTGCCAGAGCTGATTTAGTATGAGTCTACACAGAGGGGTGGTTTGGCAGTTGGGGTGGGGAAGACTGCTAAACTCTTAAATACCCATTTCCTCTGTCTCCTATTAGAATAAACAGCAGCAGAATTTTAGCCAGACACTTGACTGCCTACATAAAGACTACATTTCCCAGACTCCGTTGCAGCTAGGTAATGCCACGGGACTCAGTTCAGTTCAGTTGCTCAGTGGTGTCTGACTCTTTGTGACCCCATGGACTACAGCACACCAGGCTTCCCTGTCCATCACCAACTCCTATAGCTTGCTCAAACTCATGTCCATTGAGTCAGTGATGCCATCCAACCATTTCATCCTCTGACTAGGTCTAGCCAATGGAATGTGGCCAGACAATCTACTCTCAGGTGTGCTGGGAACATTCAACTGTAAAATATATACAACAAAGTTCTGAAAAGCAAGACAAATAAAGAACTATCTTTGGAGTAAACCCAACACAGGGTCCATTTTTTCTTCCCCAGGCTCAGAAATGAGGCCCTGCAGAGTCAGAAGGATGTGGGCTCAAGCCCCACTGTGCACTGTTTGGGCAGTCTTGGACAAACCACTTCATCCCTCTGCTTCCTAATCTGTAAAACAAAAGCAGTGAGTCCTACAAAGGTTGTTATAAAGGATCAGTGAGACTGATTGTAACATTCCTGGCACATGGTAGGGGCGTGTGAAACAGGAGGTCTGGTGATTATCACGAGACAGTGGAAAAACCACAGTTTGAGTAGGAGAGCCACATCTGTCCACTCAGGTTCTGCAACTTGCTGGTGGAATGATCTGGGAACAAGTGACCTGGGGCCATGAGCCCATTTTCTCATCTACAGGATGGAGGGCAGCGGGGCTGCTGTGAGGGTGAGGGACAGCACATGAGCAGATCTGGACACAGAGCCTGGCATGCCTCTGGGAGCCAGGTGGGCTCCACTTACTCTGCTTGATGTCACCGTCGGGCACGGGGCGGCCCTCAAACCGGCCATCCCTCTGGTTGTTCAGCAGCTCCTTCTCCCGGCCCCCTGAGTTCTGCTGCCGGGAGACGCCATCGAGCTCCAGGACGCCCACGTGGGCAGGTGAGCCAGGGCCCAGCTTCGGGGGTAAGGGTTCCCCACTGCTCTTCCTCAGGTAGGAGGCTGGGGCCCAGCCCTCTTTGCCCTGGTACCTGGAAGAAGGGGAAAAATGTCATCCAGTCTGCTCTGCCAGGCCCATGGGAAGAAACTGAGCTTCTATAATGAATCTCCCGTCCGGCCCCAGATGGTAGGAATGATGGACCATTGCTGCCCAGGGCCAGAGACTGGCACACTGCTTCCTGCCTCCTGATGAAGCCGAAGCCCCCAGCTGGACATTCAAGGCTCCCTAGTCTGGCCTCTCCTTGCCTCCCTGGCCTTGGCTGTCATGGCAACCTCCACATCCTACCCACCCCATGCAGCCAAATGCTCCACTATCTTTTACCCCCTTGCCCCACGCTCCTGCTCTGGGAGACCCTCTGCCTGGAAAGCCCATTCTCTATCATCCTCCTCTCTATCATCCTAGCTCCGCTTAAGGCGCCCTCTCAAGGCTTTCCTGAGTCTCCTTCCACGGTGCCCCGGTGGTCTTGCACATACAACACCATCCCGTCTAAAACACACAGTGACACTTGGCTGTGATGGTCTTGTTTCCCCACTTAGAATGTGAGGTCCTGGGGGTGGAGATCACGGGCGATTCATCTCCACATGGGGCCTCACTGCCTGTGAGTTGAATGAAGAGAAAAGGGGACAAGTGGACAAACTGTCAACAGAACCGGCAAGAGTGAGCAGCCACAGAGCTCTGCGACAGTCCTTATACATCCCAGAGTCATCACCGCAGTGACGATGGTGACGATGGTAACTGCCACTTATGCGCACCTACTGCGTGTTAGTCCTGTTGCAAGCATCTTATAGCTATTGATGCATTTCATCCATCCAATCTGGGGGGTGTGTGGCAGGAGTGGGTTCAGCCCTAGATGGCTGGCACCTGTAGATGCTGTTCACCTCTGCCCTGCAGCCTCTTCCCAGCAGCCACAGCTGCAGGTACAAAGCCTGGTATAGGCGGGGTGGGGCTCCGGTCACAAGCAGATTAAACACGCATTCAGACGGGAATGGAGCAGGTTGGGGGCTGGTTCCGGGGTAACCAAGGGTCACTGAACTCTGGAATGACTGACACCCTAAGAGCCCAGATCACTGAATTCCAAAGGGAATTGAACGAGTATAACAATCATTTAATTCTCTGCACGATGCAGTGCGGTTGAATAATGTGACCGGAGGGGTTGATCGGGACCACAGGTGTGCAGGAGGCGGCTTGTGAGAACCAACTGTTCACATCCCTTCCCAACTCCATGTTTAGCACCATGACAATGGAAGCTTGAAATCTACCACGGAGGGAGGATTTACACCACGGAAACTGGCAAACACTACAACTCAAGAGCATTTTTCCTTCTGGAACTGTTAAACATTGGCCAGCAGACCACTGATCTGAACCACAAAATAGGTGCCCAGACCTTTGAGGTATATGCCTAATGGACTGGAGATAATACATAGCAGGGCCATCTCTCATCAAGCATCACTGTAAGCACTGCGTTTCAACAAAAAGGGTCCTTTTCAACTAGAAGCAAACTTATAAGGAGACAGAAATCTGCAGATTTTGGTGTCTATCAACCTTAAAACATCCTCTGAGAAGGACTCAATCTCGTGCCAGCTGGAACATGCTGGGCTCCACACGATGCAGGCATCACCATGAGACAGCTCATCATCTGGAGGCACAGGGCCATAAACAGAGAGGCACGGCTGAGTGGGCTCGGGTCAGAAAGGCGCAGGTTCAATCCTGACCCTGTCACTTTCTCGCTCCAGTCAAACCTCTGATGACCACGGCAACATCCTGCGGCCACCTCGTGAGGGAGCCTGAGCCCAGTCAAGCCACCTGAATTCCAGAGCCACTCAGTTTGGGGATAATTCGTTATATTACAAGATAAAACACACTCAAGACATGTGAGCTCTCACTGTCATCGTAAGTGTATGCTGAAGTAGGTGTTAGTGGCTCAGCTGTGTCCAGCTCTTTGCGACCGTATGGACTGTAGCCCACCAGGCTCCTCTGTCCATGGAATTCTCCCAGCAAGAATACTGGAGTGGATAGCCATTCCCTTCTTCTCCATCCAGGGATCGAATCTGGGTCTCCTACATTGCAGGCAGATTCGTTACCGTCCGAACCACCAGGGACGCCCATCACTGTCCTATGTGCGCCTTCACACCGCAGTCCTGAGGCCCTGACTCTCCGAAGTCCTCCTGACCCCCAGGCTGCGGAGCTGTCTTCTGGGCACACAGTCCCCCACGCACGCCTCCTGCGCCCACTCCCTGCCCCGTACGTGCGTCCGGGCCTGTCTTCCGTGCCTGCGGGTGTAAACTACTGTGTCTTTCCCACTGTCGAGCCCCCAGTTGTCAGAGTACAGCGTGGCCCAGAATAGATGCTGGTGCAGCTTTGCTCAGTGAACAAGGCAGCACACGCTGAGCCCCAGGTGGCTGGCCCCAGGTCCTGCCTCACACCACGGCGCAGACCCCAGGCGGCAGGGATCCCAGACTTCCTCTCTTGCCCAGATTTCCCGAGGTTGCAGCCTGCCCACAAAGTAACCAAGCAGGGAGTTCCAGGACTCTTATTACTAAAACTGGGAAAGTCCCAGCACAGCAGGACGAGCTGGCCACCTTGCCTGCTGATGAGCTTTTGATCCCATCACACAGATCAAAGAGCTGTAACAGGGTGTTGGAAATGCCGGTCTCCACCGGACTCTGAGAGATGACGGCAAATGACGAGTTTCAGGAGGGGCTACAGTTCATGTGGTGTTACCCATCCTGTTGCTCTCAGTGGGGCTGGAGTGGGAAATCACTCCCACATGGCAGCTTCAGCCTCCAGTTACTCATTGCGAGACACATCTGGAGGTGAAGACCAGTCTTGCTCAATGGGATTATTGCTATCTGTGGTTCAGTGTGTTCAGAGACAGTTTTGCTTACTATGGCTTTTTAGAGAAGGATATGGGTATGGAAGGAAGCCAAACAGCACAGAGGAGAAGTGTCCTTTTATGGCGCAGGCTGAAGCCTCATCTTCTCTGCAATCATTTACAGACATCTCTATAGCTGGAGTTCACGTGACCTGAAACCCACCCAGCTGCAGAGGGTACCTGATCTTCCACCAGCCTTCCAGGTTTTTCTGGATGACCTCCACCATGGCTCCTCTCTCCAGGTTCATTTCATCTTGGTCACGTGCTGTGTAGGGGTAGATGACTGTGTACTTCTCTTCTGTGGAGACAAAGGGATGCTGGGGTAAGTCAAGGATGCTGTAAGCTTGGAATGTTGACGGCCAAGGCTATGATCCTGAGATGCCCTTGCAGGGAAGGATTTCTTCCAGAGACTTCTGTGCACCATCCTTCCCCCAACCCCCCAGCACGCCCCAGTGACCCTCACTTAGCCCTAGATGACCCTGGTCAAGCAGCAACAAGACACAGGACAAAGCGCAGGTCCTCAGAAACCCCTCAGCATCACACATCACACTCACCTTCCTCAAATCTGTGCCTCCAGGTCCCCTTCCTTGAACATGCCTTATGTAACACCCGGACCCAGGGCACCCTCATCCCACTTACCAGGAACAACCTTCGAACATATCAGACAATTTATCCATTGTGCTTCATCTGTCTTTCCCCAGATAGAACAGAGAGTTCCAGAAAGGCAGGATTTGAGTCTGGCTCGTTCATTCCTCTATCTCTAGCACTGTGCATGGTACTGGGAATATTTTGGAACTATTTAGTAAAATAGCCAAGGTTTAGTAAATGAATAAGTCCTGAAGGCCTGGTGGGAGTACCTTGCTCATGCTGGGGTAGAGGACTGGTGTTAAACCCTTGCGGTGGCTCCTCTGCAGTCCTTGTTGGTGGAGGGGTCAGGGACAAGCTGGATTTGGCAGCATACAGTATGGGGTTGGATCAGTACCACGGAGGAGATAGCCATTTTTTATTACCTAGCTGGTAGCTGATTTCCACTTTACATTTATTTTCAAGTCCCTGGATCTAGCCATGCCTGAAGCTTAATTTTATTAAAAAATTATTTTTTAATTGAGATATAATTGACACCTCACAGTGTTAGTTTCATGTGTACAACATAATGGTTTGAGATATGTATCATGAAAAGATTGCCTGCTTCTGTTTTTATTAATGTCACCGGGGTGCCTTCCATCCCCCTCTCAGTGGATTCCGGCTCCCTTACCCCCAAAGCCAAGAGAACTGCCTCCAGCAGTGTCCCTCCCACCGCCCTGCAGGCCCCGCTGGAAGGGCTGTTCACTGCCACGTTCAGACAGGGCCCTCCCCAGAGCAAGGGCACAGCTCCCAGCCCCAGCGCTGTTAGCAGTGACTGCTGAACCGGGTAACAGATGAGAGTCCCCGGGGAGCCAGTGAGACGGGGAAGAGGGCCTTCCTGTTTTGGTTACATCCCAGACCCCAGGGAGTCGCCGAGCCAGCTGTGCGCCGATGCTGATGGTGAGCCTGGCGGGGAAACACCACAGGCTGCCTGTGGCCTGCCCAGCTGGCGCAGGAGGCGGCGGAAAACACACAGGGCGTTTATTTATTTATTGATCTAGCCCCATGACCTGCGCGGCGGGGGCTGAGCTGACTCAAACGCCACACATCCTGCGTACAGCGGAGTCAGCGGCTCTCCTCACTCAGGATGCAGGCTGGGGCACGGGTGCTGCAGCAGGGAATCCAACCCCGCGGAGGCAGAGAAGTTCTGTCTGGCTAGGTGAGAAGGGCACTGCGTGGTCCCAGACTGAGTAGAGTCATTACTACGGGCTCCAAACTCCTGGGGGTTCTCCAGTACCCAGAGGCCCTTTCTGGACTCGTATCGAATGTCCAGTGATCCCTAACAAAGCTGAAGGCGGGAGGCCTTGCGGACTGTATGGTGGGTGATGCCACCTGCTTACCGGCCGTCTGCCCTTCCCCTGGTGGCACTGCGAGGCTCCAGCCACATGTCTGGGTGAGGCTGACCTCGCCAGCACCTAGAGGGAGGGGAGGGCAGCTACCCCTGGCCTGGCCAAAGTGACTGGCCACTGTGATTAGTTTAGGGATGGTATATGACCCAGTCGGGTCAGCTGGAATCAAATCCTGGGACTGTGTTGAAGGAGAAGCATGCGGGCTTTGGTGAGTGTCTCCAGAGAGTGCCTGAACTACCATCCCCATGAGAGAATGGTTCCAGCAAGGCAGAGCATGGAGCTGAGGCTGGCGAGCCTAAGTCTCAGTGCCAAGGGCAGGGGGAGAGGAAGTGTACCTGCCAAGCCAGTAAACAAAGAATGATGCCCACCATCAAGCCATCAGCCACTGCAGCCGCCCCCAAGAGTGCACCCTGAGGGGAATTCAGATGGATAAAAACAGGAAGCATTCCATGCTCTGGGTACCGGCCCAGGATAGATAAGATACATATCAAAGGAGTAATTTCAATGAGTCCAGACTCTTACATCTTTCCACTCATAGAAAGGCACTAAAATCATTAACTTAAGATGTCTGCTTTTTGTGATTCGCAGTAATCTTTTGATGTTAGACTACATGTTTTGTTTTTCCAGACAGAACCCCCTGTATATCCTGGCTCCTCCCTTCCCTCTTCAGGGGCAGTGCCTGAGAGCTATCCGAGAGGCTGTCTCCCAAGCTACAGTCCTCAGCAAGATGCCTGAATAAAACTTATTTCACAACTTTTACGTTGTGCATTTTTCTTCAGTTGAGAGATGTTTTCAAGCTCCTGGATCCAGCCATACTCGAAGCTGCCTCTACCCTAGAGTTTTCAATGACCTTCAATGACTTTCAATGCACTTCCCTTTTGCTTAAGGTGGTGTGACATGGGTTTCTTTACCGTTGTCACTCAAATGTGCCCGATACAGGGAACAGGTCACTGGATCAACATTATAGAGGCCCCCGGGCATCATTTATTTTTACTTTATTTTATTTTAGAATAAACTGATCTTTATCCTTTTTGCAATAAATTTGATTTGTTTTTACATTTAACATTTCTTGCTTTTATATTTTTGCTTGATTTTTAAAATATTTTGCTTTTGATTCACTACAAAATACAGCTGGCTTTGATAGTTTTGTCTCTGCAATATAACACAACCTGAGTTAAGAAAAGGGCTTTATTTTGTTCATTAATTTTAGCACCTACACCTCTAGGTATCATTTTCTAACCTGGGAAATTTTAGGGCCCCAGGTCGAGAAACACCCCAGGCTCCCTCCTCCCAAACATACATGCCAACACACACGTGGTACAGACCAGATCACCGTTTCTCACATGCAACAGGCACAGGCAGTCCTGGAGCAGGGGGGCGCATGCAGATGCAGGATCCAGTTCTGAACACCGAATGGGGAGGAAAACTCCAAGGTAGGCACCTTGACGCCAGCTGATGGCATACAAGTCCCCCAGCGTCCGGCGGCGACCCGCGGGCTGGGGCAGAGACCAGTACCTCCATGAGACTGGTCGGGCAGCATGTGGAGAAGGGCAGAAGGAGGGGTGAGAAGACAGCACCTCCAGGGTCTTGAGGCAAAGGCAGCAGCCAGCATGTGCTCCCACTTAGGAGCAATTAATTCTGTGTCTTTGCCAAGACCCAGCTGTCTCAGAAGGACCGAATTCCTCTGTATTGGCCCTGAACTTGAGTGAAGAGCCACCCAGTAGACACAATGCTATTCCCAGCATGATTATGAAGAGGCCCTAAGAGAAATCCTCATGCAGAGGGAAAAAATGTACAGACCCTTAGGAAAATGTGGTCCCTCTCCCATCTTCTAGCTGTGTGATCCTGAGCCAGTATTTCTACCTTTCCAAGATTGTTTTCCCATCTGTAAAATGGGGATAATAATCAGTCCTTTACAGAGACACGCCCCATGGTGGGCATCATTAACTGTCTAAGAGAGCTATGGTTTCCATGCTACACCACTACCTTTACGCTGAGTTGGTTTTTGAGCTTTTTCTTCATGAGCCCCGCTCCTGGTGGGGCTGAGAACACAGAGCAAAACAAAATGCATTTTACTTTGCGGGTGCTGGCTGTAATAAAACTAGATGCAAAACCATGTGTGTGCTTTTTTTCTTTTGCTAACCTTTGAGCATAGAACTACCCCTTTTCCTCACTTTCTTTTCTTTTAAATACAAATATAAGAAGCTCTGTGCTTTCTAAAGAGTCAACTAGAAGCACCAAATATTCAGCCCTAGGTAAGCCACAGCTCTGTGATAAAAACCATTCCTAGTTATTTATTATTTTAGGTTCTTGCCAACTGCTTTGCATGTGGGATCTCATTTAACTTAAAAAAAAAATCCCAAGATGTCAATACCATCATTTCCATTTTTAGAGGAGGTGGCTGAGGCATAGAAAGGTGAAGTTGCTGGTCCAAGATCACTCAGCCAGTTAGTGGTACAAATTCAAATTCAGTGGTGATAGTCAAATTCAGGCCTGACTCTAGAACCCTTTTGTTTAGTACCTAAGGTGAGTTCATGGTCTCGATTTAGGAATGCTCGGGGCGGGGTGACGGCACCGCAGGCCTGGGGCCTGGCCCCTCCTACCTTCTTCAGGCTGCAGGGAGAACTCGTCTTGCACTCCGTCCTGGCCTTCCAGGCAGGTTGCAGGGACCCAGCCTTGCTCTTCAGCAGTGCTGACGAACCACCAGCCTGGGAAAGAGAGTACAGATGGAAGGCACTGGGTCAGGGAGGAGGCCTGCGTGTCAGAACATAATGAGACTCAGCCATGAGAGCAGTCAATGCTCAGAGTGAGGCTGAAAAGTCACCACTTCGTTAGCAGCATGCAACGACCCACGCAGGGCTTCCCAGAAGGTGCTAGTGGTAAAGAACCCGCCTGACAACTCAGGAGACATGAGAGATGTGGGTTCGATCCCTGGGTTGGGAAGATTCTCTGGGGGAGGGCATGGCAACCCACTCCAGTATTCTTGCCTGGAGAATCCTATGGACAGAGGAACCTGGTGAGCTATAGTCCGTAGGGTCGTAAACAGTCGGACATGACTGAAGCGACCGAGCACACCCATGTTTACTGACTGTTAAATGCTACAGACAGGCTAATGGGAAACCTGCTCTTGAGCCTGGGACAGGGCTGGGGAAGGGAGTCAGGGGTGGGGATGTGGAGAAAGGTTGTGCTAAAAGACGAGAGTCAAGAAAGTAGCTACCTTCACTAAGGTGAGCAAAGCACTTATCATTTTACTTGTATTATATTATCCCTACTGCACACACAAAACTGAGGCTACAAGAGGCAAGACTTGTCCAAGTTCACAGAGCTTATGGCTGGGCTGCAACTTGTACCCAGGGCTCTCTGACACTGAAACCACTGCCCTAGTAACTCATCTGAGACAGATTTTGCCTCTATTCATGTCAAGGTAAATCTGCCTGCAGATGTAACAGTTTGAGAGGCTGTTCACTCAGACTGAGGCCCTCCCTCTTTAGAGAAAGGGCTCTCAAGGGGCCTGTGGCCAGCAGAGTAATGAGTCAAACCGCAAACAGTTACAATTAAGGTGGCAGACAGGATTAAGATTATTAATCTGTTGAACTCAAATAGGAAGTTATCCTGGCTTATGTGGATGGGCCCAATATAGCCTCAAGTGAGGCAGAACAGCTGGGAGACGTGGGTAAGGAAAAGGCACGGAAAGCGGCAACTGCTAGACCCGAAGATGGAGGAAAGGACCGCAGGCTGAGGGATGCGGGTGGTCTCTAGCAAATGGACAAGGCAAAGAAGCAGAACCTGCAGGAGGGAACAGAGCCCCGACAGCGCCTCTTAGTCCAGGGGGACCCGTTCTGGACTTCTAACCCCTCAAACCCTATGATGATCAAGCTGTGTAAGTCTGTAAGTTTGTGGTCATTCACTACAACAGTCACAGGGCATCAACTCAGGGCCCAGCTGGGTCATGGACAGCATGAATGGGAAAAGCAGGACCTGCGCTGCAAGATCACAGACCTCCAGGCCCTGGAGATCCCAAAGGAGAAGAGAAAGAAGGGGCAGACTCTGAACTAGCTTCCTGGTCTCACAGGGAGGCCTTGGCTTGCAAGCTCCTTGAAGTAGAAGCCACCTTCGGCTTTGCTTGACTGGGTGCACCTCTTTAAACATGCTTTGGTGGCTGAGCAGTGTGGGTGTGTACGTATGTGTGTATATGAATGAATGGGGTTGATAAACCTGTGGAAAATCAAGAAATATGCCATATATGCCTCCCTAAGGCCTCATCTTTCTAGGCATCTGTGTGGCAGATAAACTGTCACAACAGCAATGATGGCAGCGATGCACCAGACCACCAATCACAGAGCTTCATATCTACCACTGACCTGCCAGGTCCTCATGGCAGCCTGAGCTACGTTCTATTATGACCCTATTTTACAGATGGGGAAGCAGAGTTCAGAGAGGGGCAGTGACTTGACCAATGTCACCGAGAAAGTGGTAGAGCCAAAATTCACACCCAGGCCGTCTGGCTTCAAAGCCTCAGCTCTTAACTCTTGGCACGAATGCCTCATCCATTGCTAGAGGGAGAGTAAATGGGTTTGGCCACAGTTTGGAAGCAGGTTATTTGGCTGTGTCTTAAGATTTAAAATGTGCCTATCTTATGGTCCTGCAGTGTTCTGGGTACGTGCATGCTACGTCGTTTCAGTCATGTCCAACTCTTTGAGACCCCCTGGACCATAGCTTACCAGGCTCTTCTGTCCATGGGATTCTCCAGGTAAAAATACTGGAGTGGATTGCCATTTCCACCTCCAGGGGATCTTCCTGACCCAGCGATCAAACCCATATTTCTTATGTATCCTGCACTGGCGGGCAGGTTTACTAGCACCAACTGGGAAGCCCACTGCCAAGCCGGTCTTCTGGGTATCTAACTTAAAGAGACACTCACAGGTACACAGAGATATACTGTTCATACTAGAGGAAGATAAGACTCAGAGTGTGCCATCTTTTCAAATAGGGTGCAGATGTTATAGGAATAAGAGCTAAAAGTTAACTTAAGAAAAGTTAACTTAAGTCTGGACTTCCCCGGCAGTCCAGTAGTTAAGAGGGCTTCCCTCGTAGCTCAGTCGGTAAAGGATAAACCTGCAATGTAGGAGACCCATGTTCGATTCCTGGGTTGGGAAGATCCCCTGGAGAAGGAAATGGCAACCCACTCCAGTATTCTTGCCTGGAGGATCCCATGGACAGAGGATCCTGGCGGGCTACAGTCCATGGAGTTGCAAGAGTCAGACATGACTGAGTGACTAAGCCACCACCAGTAGTTACGACTCTGTGCTTCCACTGCAAGGGGTGCGAGCTCGATCCCTGGTTGGGGAACTAAGATCCTGAACGCCACTCGGCACCACCAAAAATAAAAAAAATTAACAACAACAACAACGAACAAAAAAGGAAAAGCAAGCTGCAGGTCAAAATGTATAGAATGATACACCACTGGGGTTAAAAAACCTATAAAATATGCATGAAATATGACCTGTATGTATGTGTGTATATAGTTATACATGTACATATGCACATGCAGATATGTATGCATACACACGTGTACAAATGTGTACACTGTGCACATACACATATGTACACACATGTGTACACATATATATACACATACTTATATACACCTGTATATACAATTATCAAGAAGTATTCACCCCAAACTGACAGAAGAGCAACCTATGTCTGGAAAGAGGACCAGGCAAGAAGTTGGTGGAAAAAATTACATTTTAACTTTATTATTGTCTCAAGAAGAACATATCCATATATTACTTGGGTAAGTAAAACATAACTAAAAATAAACGTTGACTTTGTGAACCACTTGAAGATCTGAGCATCTGTCCTCTCTCCCCTGCTGCCCTCTGGACACACCAGGCTCGTCTCCCACCCCATCCCTGCTCCTCCTCTCCTCCCAGCAACATGTTCTTCCTAACATCACTCAAGAGGCCGAAGCAAAGGGGGGGAAAGGGGGGTGGTTGCTCCCTTCTTCAGTCTCCATGGAGCATCCCAGTCACACCCACGAGCTGACTATACTCATTTCCAGGAATTAGAACGTCACATGGCCTTGGGGCCAGCTGGAACTGCTTAGGAGTTCCAGCTCGGCAACCTGTCACGAGATTCCGGGTGAGTGACCGAGTCACTTGGAGTCTTCGTGTCTTCAGCTGTGAAGCAGGAATAACAACTGCGGTATTGAGCAATCAAGGAGTTTTGGTTGGCTAAATGCTCATCTCCTGACTAAAGGGAACACACTCCAGAGACTCTGGAAATGGTTTTTCCCCTATTTGTTGGACCTTAGCTAGTCACTGGGATATCACAGAGATTGGCCCTCTAATACAGCTAGCCAACATCACATTTTAGCCAGAACAAAGCCAGTGGGTTTATGTCACTTTTTCCTGGAGAGGGTCCACTTATGCCCTGCTCCTTGCTCTCTGTCTTCCAACGGTGGCAATGCCCTATTCTGGCTAAAGAAGACAAAAGGGAAGGAAATTCATATTTTTGAGCACTTGCTGTGTACCAAACACAGGCTTGGGCACTCTCTATGTATTGCCTCATTTAATCCTTGAAGCACCGTTTTTGATGAAACGACCTGGATGGCTGTGAAATGCAGAGTTCAGGTTAAGTTCCTCAGCATCTCATCACACTCTGTCCCGGCCAGTATCCAGACAAATGTTTTATGGTGCTTCTCTTTATTGCATTTCACAGATAATGTGTTTTTATTTTATTTTTTTAAATTGGAGGTTTGTGGCAACCCTGCATCAAGCAAGTCTATCAGCAACACTTTTCTTACAGCATTTGCTCACTTTCTGTCTCTGTGTCACATTTTGGTAATTCTCCCAATATTTCAAACTTTTAAATCCTTATTATATTTGTTACAGTGATCTGTGATCTTTTTTTAAAAAAAATTATTTATTTATTTGGCTGCACCGGGTCTTAATTGTAGCATACAGGATCTTTTCAAATAGTGGCGTGTGCATTCTAGTTCCCTAACCAGGGACTGAAGCCAGGCCAGCTGCACTGGAGCACAGAATCTTAGCCACTGGACCACCCTGTGATTGGTGATCTTTGATGTTAGTACTGCAAAAGGTTTATGACTCGCTGGAGGCTCAGATGATGGTCAGCATTTTTAGCACGGAGTATTTTTTAAATTAGGGTACGTACATTGTTTTTTTTGACACAATGTTATTGCATGCTTAACAGATGACAGTATTATATGCTGTGCCGCTGTGCTGAGTCACCCAGTCGTGCTCAACTCTTTGTGGCCTCATGGGCTGTTGCCCACCAGGCTCCTCTGCCCATGGGGATTCTCCAGGCAAGAATCCTGGAGTGGGTTGCCATGCCCTCCTCCAGGGGATCTTTCCAACCCAGGGATCGAACCCAGGTCTCCCGCATTGCAGGAGGATTCTTTACCATCTTAGCCACCAAGGAAGCCCAAGAATACTGGAGTGGGTAGTCTATTCCTTCTCCAAGGGAATTTCCCAGCCCAGGAATCCAATCAGGGTCACCTGCATTGCAGGTGGATTCATTACCAGGTGAGCTACCAGGGAAGCCCACGGTATCATGGGCTTATATTTACACTGAGAAACCAAAAAAAATTCACGTGGTTTGCTTTACGACAGTGGTCTGTAACTGAATCTGCAACATCTCTGAGGTCTGATGGTATGTAAACAGTGGTTCCTGTGACAGCAAGAAGGCTGAGGCAGGATGTCCATCCCGTCAGAGCCCACAGCTGACAGAACCTTCCTGAGGACTCACATGGTAGCCAAAGGCAAATCAACAGAGCACATTTCCATTGTAATGGGGGGCTCTTGTCTCCAGGTGCTTTGAAACCAGAAGGAATGTTCATCAAATGTGAACCTCAGAACAAGTTGATAACATGTGACCCAAAAGGATGTTGGTGAGCTGTGACCAAGTGGGGTGCTCAAGCATTGTGACCAAACAAGGTCAGATTTCTAGAGTCATCAGCTGGATCTGTGGAAGCTGACCAGCCTGGATTGGCTACTGCAGTTTCTGCACTCCCCAGTGTCCCCTGGCCCAGCGGCTTGGTGACAGTGTAGGGCGGGAGGGAGGGAGTCAAGGCCCCCTACCTGACTCGTTCTTCTCGATGATGTCCACCACTTGCCCCACGCTGAGGCTGATCTCCGAGCTCTCCTGCTTCTGGTAGTCTGCCACCACCACATACTGCTCCAAGACCATGGGGTCCACTGAGGTCAGGTCGCCCCCTGGGGATACAAATTGTCATCACACAATCCACGTGTGAAGGAACAGGAGGCGGTAGGTGGGTCATGAGGATATTCAATTAGAGAAAGAACCTGTGGCAGGACTGGTCTCAATGGTCACCGCATCCATTTATTCTTTCATTCATTTGCTCACTCAACCACTGCAATTTACCACGTGCCTGTCCCTGTATAAGCACTGAGGGTTCAGAGTTGATTAAGATATGGCACTTGCCCCAAAGAGGATGACAGCCTAGTGGGAAAGTCCATTCATTCATATCTATTTATCTATCTATCGATCTGCCATTATTCATCTATCATCATCCACTCAACTAAGTATCCACTCATCATCCATCCAAGCAAACACCCATCTGTTGCCATCCATCCATCCAAAAGGAAATCGACCCTGAATATTCACCGAAGGGGCTGATACTGAAGCTGATACTGTCCACTTGATGTGAAGAGCTGACTCATTGGAATAGACTCTAATGCTAGGAAAGACTGAAGGCAAAAGGAGAAGGAGGTAGCAGAGGATAAGATGGTTACACAGCATCACCAACTCAATGGACATGAATCTGAGCAAACTCCAGGAGATAGCGAAGGACAGGGAAGCCTGGCATGCTGCAGTTCATGGGGTCACAAGGAGTTGGACACGACTTAGTGACTGAACAACAAGTTTTTGATTGATGCATTGCTGGAAATGAAGATGGCAGACAAAGAATGAGTGGAGAAAGGAGACTACATTAAATGGAGCGGTCAGCAGGCCCCTCTAGGGAGGCGACATAAAGCAAAGACCTCTGAGACAAGAAGGCATAAAGAAGTGGGGACAGAGCAAGGCAGGCAGACTGTTGGACAGGACAGGCAGGCCGGGAGCCTTCGAGGAACTGGAATGGGGTGGCTAACGTCCAGGAGTGAGGAGAGGGCAGTCCTGTCTGAGATCACCCTGGCAGACATGGGCCAGAGTAGGGAGGGCCTGCTGGACCAAGGCAAGGAGTCTGGATTTTTTTAAACCCTAAAGGAGAAAGCCACTGAAGGGCTTTAAGAAGGGAATGACAAGATTTACATCTTTCCAAAGACAATTCTGGCTGCCACATGAAGATTGGATTAGAGCCTAGCAAGAAAAAAAGCAGGAGACCAGATGGAGATTGTAGATTTGCAGACAAGGCAGGATGGTAGCTTTGAACGAGGGCAGGGGCAGTCGGGGAGAGGAGACCCAGAGGAGGCTCTTTCCACAGGATGCATTGCTATGCAGCCCTGGTTAAGTACTAAGACATATCTGATAAATCAATGAAAGCTATCACAGGATATGGATAATGTAAAAGGACATCAGACACTCCAAACAGAGGGGGCAGCGCTTTCAGAGCAGCAAGCTGAATGTGGTGGGAGGGCAGCCTGGCTATTGTTGCCACCAGGCCTGGTTTTCTGAAAGTCCTGATTTGAAGTATTCCCTTATATTGTTTCCATAAACCGCCAAAATAGCTGTTTATATTCTGTGTCCAAATACACCCATATGGAGCTGAGTTTGTACATCTCTTCCCAATTCTGCTGGGTGGCGCCTTACTGAAACGGGCCATAGTGGGAGTATTTACACCATGGAAATTGGCAAATGCTACAAAGCGGGGCTTTCCATCAGAGGGCTGGTTGTGAAGTACTTATCAGCAGGCCACTGCACCCCAGACTCTGGCATCCAGAAGCAACACAAGAGCCCTTTGTTAGAACCATGCTTTCTGCATTTCTAAGGCAGAAAATCAGAGCAGGGCACGGCAGCCGGGTGAAGGGTCACTGCGTTTTGGCTCTGTGACCATGCTCTGGCCACTCACCCTTCCAGGCTGAGGGTACAAAGCAAAATGGCAGGGCCCCAGGGTAACCTTGCTGCACATACCCTGAGTGGAAAAAGCACGAGAACAGACAAAGAGAGGGGAGAAAAGAGAAGGAAGATGTAGAATGAAAGTTCAGAAGACCGGGAGGGAAGTGGCCCCATGTGAATGCCTACCACAGGCTACACTGTTCATAAGCCACCTTGACACAACCGCCCTGCAAGGTGGGTATTACCACTCTCCTTTTATGGACAAGAAAACAGAGGCTCAGGTATCAGGTGACTTGCCTCAGATCCCACAGCTAGCTGGTGACAAGGCCAGATCTGAACCAGGTCCATGTGGTGGCAGCAGGTGAGGAGAGAAAAGATGGGAGGAAGGAAGGGTGTCTGAGGTCTTGCTCTCCTCCGCTGTGGTCCCCCCGACCACCCCTAGGTCTTACTTCTTTGCAGCTTCAGGGCCGTCCTCACAACTGCCAGCCCTCTTCTCCCCTGTTACCTCTCACCTAGGTCAGTCTGCAGAGCTGACTTCCTCCCAGCCTCAAGCAAGACAGACGGCCAAAACAACCCAAGCAACTGAAGGGGAAAAACCTTCAAGCGCCCCAAAACAAGCCAAGGCCTGCGCCCTCCCTGCTGCCCTTCTGGACAGTGCCCTCTTGACTGTCTCCCTAACCCCCGGCACTGTGCTCCTAAGAGGTACTTTCCTGTGAATGAGCAAAGCAGACGCTGGCTTGCTAGAGCCTCTTGGCTCAGGTCATTGTGAGCGGGAGACACATTCCCTAGTGAATGCAACAGATAGAAACCAAGGGTCTGCAGTTTTTACCCCAGAATACAGCCTGCCCTAGGGTTTGGAGCCCCAGGAATGCAGCTTCTTCTGTTTTAACCCCTTTGGGGCTGGGTTCATGTAACTACGCTTCCCTGGGTCTCAACTGGAGACAAAGAACTAGAGAGACAGAAGAGAAGTGCCCACATCAGTCAGGCTGCAAGCGGAGGCTGCTGCTCGGGTTAGTGCTCAGAGACAGCCCAGGGCTTCTGGGCAGGCCAGAAGGGGCAGGAGGTGTCTGCGCGCATGTGTGTATGTGTGTAGGGGGGTGGTTCTCTGCTGCTCCTGGAGGTGGCCGTGTGGACTCACCCTCCCAGAGCCACAGGCCTGATGTGGGAGGACATTCTTGCTAGCACTCTATCACCTCGCTTCACCCACATCCTCATGAAGCCACATCCTCTGCACCAGGGTCTGAGAACGGCTTCCTGGGGCCAGGGGTGCAGAGGCGGGCACCCTGTGATTGCTCTCCATCCCGCCCCTCCAGCGTGTCCCCCACACCGCAGCCAGAGCACTCACTCAGAACTGCTACTCTGACCACGCCACCCTCTGCCCAGCACCTGCTGTGGCTCCCTTGTGCCTCAGGCTCTCCATGACCTGCACTCTTCTCTTCTCTCTGCTTATACTTTTGGCCACCTCATTCCTGGCTCACTTGTAAAACTGGAAAGCATGCAGGCGCCTTTGCATAGCTGTTATCTCTGCCTGGGATGTCTCCTCTTCTCCTCTGCATTCAAATAGGAAGCACCTATTCTTAGCCTTCTAACTGGCCTCCCGTTGCCAGCCTTGACCCCTACAGTCTGTTCTGGACACAGCAGCTAAAAGAATCACACTTAAAAAAAAAAAGTAGATCACAGTTTGAAATTCAAGGCCTGGCAATGGCCTTCACTTCACTCAGGAGAAGTCCCACTGGCCTACAAGCCCTCCCTGGACTGTGCTGATAGTTACTTCTCCACTCTCTCCAGCGGGGCACAGATGGCTACTTCTCCCCTATTCTTTCTTCTGCAGTAAACAGACTTGCCTGGGTTTTAGCTTGGCACAGGGCTACTTGGAATGAGACTCCTTCACGCTGGGAGTGGTCACGTGACTAACTGTTGGCCAGTAGGCTATTAAGTAGAAGGGTTCTATGTAACTGCTTGGTAAGAATCATTACAGGAGGGGCTTACTCTATTTCACCCTTTACTTGTTACTGCTTGCTAAAATGTGCAAGTGATGGCTGGTGCTGCAGCAGCCACCTTGGGCTGTGAGATGACCCCAGAAAATGCTGGCCACGTGCGGCAGGGCAGCAAGACAGGAGTCTGGGTCACTCTTATCGTCAAACACAGTATTACTTCTGGACTATCTATGGAATGTGAGCTAAGAAACAAAATTAAAAATGTAAAGGCACATTTATTTTTAGGTACTATACTCAGGCTTCCTTGCTACTGTTTGATAACACAAAGCAATGTCCACCTCAGGGCACTGTGCATTTGCTGTTCCCTTGCCAGGGATAAGTTTCCTCTAGAGATCTGCAGGGCCTCCTCCCTCCCTTCCTTCAGGTTCCTGCTCAAGCGGCATCTTATCAGAGATGTCCCCTGACCACCCTGCACGACTTCACTCCTTTTTATTTTGTGCCATCATGCTTTTTTAAAACCATCATGAATTCTATATATTTCCTTGTCTCCTTGTCTGTTTTCTACTCTAGAACATAAGCTCCCACAAGGGCAGGGACTCAGTTTCTTGTTTACTGCTGCACCCACACTCCCTAAAGACTCACAGGCCCATGGTCCATTTTTGTGCAAGGGGAGCAAAGAATGTACTTTTATGTTTTTAAAACCTTGTAAAGAATAAGAGGGAGAGTAAGTAGAAGAGGAAACAAAGAAATTACTATTAGTGACAGAGTCTGTATGCAGCTTGCAATGCCTAAACTATTTACTATCTGGCCATTTAGAGAAAAAACATTTGCCAACCCTTGACCCCAGAACATGAATGGCATCTGCAAAGGCTTAATAAATATCTGAACAAAAGAATGAGTATTTTAAAACAGCTTTAAATGACTTCTGACCTCAGGGAGACACTCAAATGCCTTCTCACACAGCATTTACACTGTTTTGTTTACACATCTGTCTTTTCTACCAAACTGTGAGGTTATTTCCCACATGATGCTGGCCTTTGCATTCCCTGGGGACCTAGAACACTGTCAGGCACACAGTAGGTGCTTAACAGACAATGAACGGATAACCATGTTGGTCTTCTTCATTCAGCACAGAGGCTCAATGAACATCTGTGCTGTGACTGAACAAAGGATGAACTGGAGACATCTAGAAACCCTTCCTGCTCTACACAGCACGGGCCTCTTCCTGGGAACACACTGTGCTGAGTCATCGGCAGGCGCTTGTCCACCTTACACGCGCCAAAGACTACTCCTTCTTGTCTATAAGTAGGGACAGAGGCTCTGGTTAAGTCAGGGTCCGGGTAAGTCAGGTTATGTGTCCAGAAAGTTGAGCAGTTGCCACCTGGTTTTAACAACTGATGGTGGTCCAGTGGTACCACATACAATTGTCAGGACTCTGCTCAATGGACTGGTCTACTCATTTCTGCGCCAGCTCTCCTCACCAAGCTGCCAACCAACCTAGGATAACCATGAGCAGTGCAAGGACCGGGCAGTGATGGGACTCACGGTGAACAAGACATGAAGTCAGGAAATGAGGAGGGCAGGGGGCAGGGTGGGGGACTCTGAGCTGGCATGAGCAGGCCAGGTGCTGGCTCAGGGCTCAGGGACAGCACTCCTTCCAAGACTTGCTCAGGGGCCAGGTCTGAGCCTTACTTACATCTCCTTCCTATTCTTCTCTAACAGTCGCTTTAGTCTGCAGTTTCCTGCCACTAAGTGGCTCAGAATTGGAGCTACTTTTTCAGCCACAGATCTTTCAGGGCAGGTTAACTTCCTTTTACCCAGAGGGCTCAACTTATCAAAAACATCATGCTTTTGATCTACCTGGAGTCTCAGACGAGGCCACAGGCCACTAAAGGTTAGGTGGAGACACCCACTAGAGGACTGTGATACTGCAACCAGGCTTTATAATGCACAGTAATCACAGTGCTTAGAAGCTGATGCAGGTAGAACTAAGTGCTAGGAGTTACAAGCGTGAAACCTAATATTTCTAGAAATGTCAGGATTGTGGTCCAGCAGGGAACAAGGGAGAGGGAAAGGTCAGGAGAAAGGAGGAGCTTTGACAATGGAAGGGCAATTTTATCACTGAGGAAGTATTATACTATAAACTACCTTCAAAAGGTAAAAGCTTTCACCTACCACAAAAGCTTTCTGTTTGGCTATTTCTTTTTTTCTTCATGATGGTAGCTTTAGAATTTTTTAAGTGATGAGTAATGGTAAAGAAAGACTTTATTTCTAGAAATTCACTATACTGTCTGTCTTGCTGAAAGAGCCCCCATACAAGAGACTACTTTGATAAGTAAAGGGTAGAAAAATCAGAAAGAGATGGTCCTTAAATAATGACATGCTCTGTTAAATTTTGGTAGGAGGATTTTTTTTCCTGTAGGATGAGCAGAATTTGAGACCACATTAGCCAAAGCCTGCAGGAACCAGCCAGCCAGCCACAACAGGCACATTCTGGAGAGATAAGCCTTCTTCAACTCACAATTCTGGCATAGAAACTACAGGGCTTGGGCTGTCAACATTAAATCCTTTCTGAATTTAATCAGGGAGGCTTGTTCTAACTTAAAGAAAGTGTTCAAAGGTCAGATAAAAAAATAAGGCTAATCCCAGCAAGGGTTCTTAGTCTGAATGAAGAAAGATGCTATTTTCCAACCAGTTGAACTATAAATAAATCTGTCCCCCATCATTGCAGGTGAATGATGTAACAGTGGTCACCACAAATTATAGAGCTCCTTCTTTCTTTTCCAGACCAGTCCCCTCATTAAGCCTGTTCTGACTGAATACCTTTGTTTTCACCAACCAGAGCTGTCTGTTTCCTGCCTCCCTCCCACTCATCCCCTCCCAGAAAGTCTCCGCACACTCAAAGCCAGAAACTCTACAACCAGCCTAAGACTGTGTGCTTCTCTTCTCCTCTCTGCTCTTTTCTAAGAAGCCTATCATTATCCTCAGGGCTCAAGGGCTATCTGTAGCTTTAGCAGGATGTCACGGCTCCCGCCAGTACCTATTAAGCTAGAAAGCAGAGCTATAAACAGACTGGGAAAAGGCTGGACTTCATGCATGACCCCATACCTTGAGGCAAAGAGATGCAGTTCTTTTCTACTCTTCCCTGCAAGAATAGCCTTGGGGCCTGTGAAGCTGACCACAGGCCTGGTACCCAGGGGGAAGTAAAGGGATAAAAGATGTTGAACTTGACATTATTAGAGATGCTGGATGAGAACACCCTTGTGCTCTGAATGAATAATAGTAGCATAAAAAGAGCACATATATCCTTAGAGCATGGCACACACCGTTCTAAGCGCTTTACATATTATTATATTAATAAATCCTGTAATAATCCTACAAGGTAGAATACTATCCTTATCCTCATTTTACAGATGAGGAAACAGGCCCATGATAAAGAAGGCATCCTTTTTCACTTCGGGGATCTCTGCTTGGCCTCCTTTCCCCTCTTCCTTATCAACCCCTTCAAACTTCCTGGAGTTCCGGATAAATAAAAGAATTTAGAACTCTGGAAAGCTCTGAAGGCCATGTTGGCTCCAGATGTGGCACGGGCTTGGCCCTTTGCAGACATGCAGGATGTTCTTGGGCTGCAGAAGGACAAAGTTGGGTGATTGTAAATCTAAGCTTATCAACCCCAGGTCTGTGAGAACTCAATCTTTCCTCTGCACATACTAAAAATCTCACCTTCTCTTTTTCCACAATTGCTCTTGATGAAAGAGTCATGCTGTCCAGGGAATGAAAGTGCATTAGGAAGGCAGAGAACTAACTATGTGGAAGTGAGTATGGGAGCTGCCTGCAAGAGCAGTCACCACTGCCCACATCAGTGGCTGATCGAAGGAAGCCCACAGACAGGCCTGGCACTGAGGCTGGTGAATGGATCAGGCCAAAATCTACTGCATACTCACATTTCTGAGCTTGTGCGCTGTCCCCTTAGCCCCAACTGCTCCTCAGCATCCATCCATCCATCCATCCATCCATCCACTCATCCACCCATCCATCCCATCGCTGTATACCCCATGTAGTGTCCAGGGCCTGGGACATCGCTCAGTAGGGGTATACTAAACATCTAATCAATAGAAGAAACGGAAAATATTCTTACCAGATTTCTTTTTCCCAACATGTTCCCTGTATAGGAAAGAATAGGGGTGGGGAAGAGTAATGAGTCAGTATCTCTTGCGTATTGCTACGAGTTATTCCATTAGGAAAAGGAGATTTTTCCCTCCCACAACATCTCCAGTGAATGAACCTAATTCCAAGTCAGCCCCAGGGACCCAGACCTCCTTAGAAGAAGGAATTCCTTTTGATTTTCTCCCTTTGCTCTGGGGCCCTGGGGACAGCATGTCCACTCTGTGTGGCGCAGAGGGCGCCACAGAGAGGAGAGGCACAGGGGGGGATACAAAATCAAAAAACAAGAGAGACCCCCACACCCCACAGGGCCCCAGACCACACCACAACACACACAAGACCCCACACCCCCCCGGCACAGCCCCCAGAGCAAAACACACAGAGCGAAAAACTCGCGGGGGAGAGGGACACACAGCACACATCCCCCACACGGTCACACACAACACAATAATACGGGCGAAAACACACACAAAAAGAAAAAACACCTTACACTTGTTAACCACGTCAGTTTATCCACACAACTGCATTACAAACACAATGTTACAAATGAGGGTTTACAACATACTTTTAAGTAAATTATCCCATTAGTAAAGAGCTTTCCAGTGTTACAGAAAGATGAGATGGTTGGGTTGAGACAGATATGGTGGCAACAGGAATATTAGCAAATACCTACTACTAAATTCCTGATAAATGCTGTTACCTTGTGCCAGGATCCTGCTAGGTATTTTGAGTTCACTCACTTAATACTCATAATAACCTTCAGAAATAAGCACTCTCTAAATGCCCATTTTACGGATAAGGAAAATGAGACACAGAGAGGCTAAGTAACTTGAACAAGGTCACACAGCTTTTAAGTAGCACAGCCAGGATCTGAATACAAGTCTATCTAAATTTTTAAGAACTGAGATACAATTCACTTGTCATAAATTTCATTCTTTTAAGGTATAGAATTCACTGATTTTTTTAGTATATTCACAAAGTTGTGCAACCACTGCCAACATCAAATCCAGGAAATTTTCACCCGAAAAGAAACCCCTTAGCAGTTCCTCTCCATTTCCAGTCCTTCCAGCCCTTCCACAACTATTAACATGCTTGCTGTTTCTAAGGATTTGTCTATTCTGGACTTTCACTATGAATGGAATCATACAATAGGTAGCCTGTGACTGGTTTCTTTCATGTAACATAATGTTTTCAAGGGTCATTCATGCTGTAGCTCACACCAGCGTTTCACTCCATTCTATGGCTGAATAATATCCCATTGTGCGGATAAATCACACTCTCTCTGTTCCTGGACATTTGCATGGTTTCAACTTTTTGGCTATTATGAACAATGCTTTATGAACTTTGCACACAAATCTTCACGTACATATTTTTATTTCTCTTGGTTATATACATAGGGATGGAATTACTGATGAAACAGTAACTCTAGGTTTAATTTTTGAGGAACTGTCAGGCTGTCTCCCTCAGCGGCTATACCATTTACATTCTCACCAGCAACGTAAGGAGGTTTCAATTCCTCCATGTGCTCAACACCACTTGTTACTGTCTTGTCTTTCTGAGTCCAGCCATGCTAGTGGGTATGAAGTGGTATCTCCCTGTGGTCGGGACTTGCATTTTCTGATGGCTAAGGACGCTGATGCTTTTGAACTGTGGTGCTGGAGAAGACTCTTGAGAGTCCCTTGGACTGCAAGGAGATCCAACCAGTCCATCCTAAAGGAACTCCCGGTCCCAGCCGTTCACTGTGGACGGGGTCAGAGTGCTGTCCCTGGACTGACCCCCAGGACCCTCCCATCACTGCGCTCCACAGGTATGGAGATACGGAGGCCCGCAGAGGCGTGCTTCTCCCAGGACTGGAACGCGGCGGGCCTGGCTGGGGCTCACTGTCTGACCAAACCCCGACCGTCCTGCGGGTGGAGCTGTCCTTAAACGGCCGGTTCAGGACGCACTAGCAGAGGCCTCCTAAGTCCGCTCCTAAGCAGAGTGCCCTCGGCCCGCACGGCCCTCCAGGCTGTGACCCGGGCCGCGGTCCAGGACACCTGAAAGGCCGGCTCCCGCCCTGCCGTGTTCCCACCGCTACAGCCGCCCTGGCCCAGCTGGCGCGGGCAGTGAGGGGCAGCAGGGGGCTCCTGGGGTCAAGCAGCAGCTTGTGTGGGCTCAAACCAGTGCACTGTTCCTTCTGTGAGACCTGCTTACGGTGATCCCAAGTTTTCCCAGGTATGGCAGCAAAAAACCTCCCTCTAAAAGCACCACTTGGAACCCATGATGTCTTTGCTTAGAAACTGTTGGGCAAATCTCCCAATCTCCACTGCAAGCCTCACTCAGGGCTGAGCATCAGAGACTTGATCAGGGACTAAGGCCACTGAACGACTGCCCTCACAGTTCATTCCTCCCTAAACAGCAGCAGCTAGGTGACGCTGTCTGCTGGGGCCCCAGAGACACCCCGTGGGCTCTCAGCAACTAACTTCCTTCCTTCCGTCCTTCCTCCCTTCCTTCCTCGTCAAAGCCTGGCTTAAGGACAGGAAGGCATCACTAGGTAAGTATCTGTCATGTGCCTGACACCATCATCACCCTTTATGAGCAGGATACTGCTTAACCAAGATGTGAGCAAGGTTAGCTATGCCCACTTTACTGATGAGGAAAGAGAAACTCAGAGAAGTCAAGTCACCTGTCCAAGGTCACACAGCAGGGAATGGACAGAGAGATAGGAAACTTCCCTTTCCTTCCAGGAAACCTCTTGGAACCAGGTAGATACACTCTGGAGAATGCTGGTTAGCTTATCTTAGCTGTCACTTTGTGCTTTTGGGGGGTACAGTCTAGGCTGCATTTTGTATTTTTAGTCTATGTTCTTATTTGTGTGTATACATGCACACATGTATTCACAAGCTCACATAGCCTTTCCCACCAGTATAGAAATCTCCTGAGGGCAGGTGCTATTTTTCTCTTGTATTATTCCTGAGGGAAGAAAGGGAAATGATCATTCAATTCTACAGGTTGTGGTCTTTTTTATTTTCTGTTTTTAAATAACTGGAGCAGTAAGATTTCTTCTAGCAGTCAAAAAAGGTTATAACTGTAGAAAAATTTAGATTCTCAGCACATACCGTAAATTGGAATGAATTCTAATCGATTTAACGAGTAAATATTAAAAGAAACCCCAAACCATAAATCAACTAGAAAAAAATTAAGGGAACTATCTTGTGTCTGAATGGTAATGCCCTTCTTAGACTGAAAGCAAGTGAAAGAAGTCACAACTGAAAAATCTGGGCACCAGATTTGACTTCACAAAAATATAAAACTTACGCACATCATAGAATCCAGAAACAAAATATAAATGCATGATAAAAGGGAAAAATATTTACAACAAATACAGCAAAGCTAATTCCTTACTATATAAACAATAACAAATTATTCCTTACTATATACAATAGTAAAACCAACAGAAAAACCGAGCAAAGAGATTTTCCCCTTCCAACCACGAGTCAAAAGCTTCTTACTCTTGAACTTTAATGCCAACCAGCTTCCCTCTTTCCTAGCTCAAAAAATGCCCACCAGCCCGTAAGGCTCCCAAAGGCAAGAACTGGGATTGTTTCCCGGGCTTTCAGTGTGGGTGGCACTTGTGGGAAACATTTAGGAAATTAACACACTTGAATGGGTTGACCCTGTCTCTGCTGGGTTTTGCCCAGAGATGTGGGGGATGGGAGAGCCATTTGGAAGGCCTGCGAGGAAAGACTCTGGTCCTCCCATAGGAGAACAAGCATCTTCACACGGTACCCACTCCTCCCAGGGACGTACAACAACCAAACAGACCAGCTAGCTTCTTTCTTAGCATCTCATAAAAGATTGCAGAACCCAAGCATCTTGGCCCTGGCAGCCAAGGAGATGTGAAAACTGTGTACCTACTATGTGCCAGGCACTGTCCTAAGCCCTTCACACATACAGCCAAACCTCACAATGACCATGGGTCCCACATCAATGGATTCAACCAACCTTGGATTGAAAATGTTTGGAAAAAAATTCCAGAAAGTTCCAAAAAGCAAAACATAATTTGCTGTGTGCCTGGCAACTATTTACAGAGCATTATATTGCATCAGGTATTATAAGTAACCTGGAGATGATTTAATGTATATGAGAGGATGTGCATAGGTTATATGCAAACACTGCACCATCTTATATAAGGGACTTGAGCATCCGTGGATTTTGCTATCTGTGGGGGGCCCTGGAACCAATTCCTTTGTCAATAATGACAGTACTATTATTCCCATCTAAGAAGTGAGGAAATGGATTAACCTGAAATGTATAAGAACAAAACTCTAACTCCAGGAAACTGGAGAAAATCTATCTTTGGAATTTTCTAACATAATATCCAGGGGGCACCATCATGATTTCAGCCCCCAAACTCCAGAAAACCAGCTGCTGATCATGTCCTAATCTTCCCATTGGTATTTCTGTTCAGTCTCCCAGTAACCCCGTAATGCAGGTGGGGCAGGTGATGCAGTCTCGTTTCACAGATGAAGTAAGTGAGGATATAAACAATAACAAATTATTCCTTACTATATACAATAGTAAAACCAACAGAAAAACCGAGCAAAGAGATTTTCCCCTTCCAACCACGAGTCAAAAGCTTCTTACTCTTGAACTTTAATGCCAACCAGCTTCCCTCTTTCCTAGCTCAAAAAATGCCCAACAGCCCGTAAGGCTCCCAAAGGCAAGAACTGGGATTGTTTTCCGGGCTTTCAGTGTGGGTGGCACTTGTGGGAAACATTTAGGAAATTAACACACTTGAATGGGTTGACCCTGTCTCTGCTGGGTTTTGCCCAGAGATGTGGGGGATGGGAGAGCCATTTGGAAGGCCTGCGAGGAAAGACTCTGGTCCTCCCATAGGAGAACAAGCATCTTCACACGGTACCCACTCCTCCCAGGGACGTACAACAACCAAACAGACCAGCTAGCTTCTTTCTTAGCATCTCATAAAAGATTGCAGAACCCAAGCATCTTGGCCCTGGCAGCCAAGGAGATGTGAAAACTGTGTACCTACTATGTGCCAGGCACTGTCCTAAGCCCTTCACACATACAGCCAAACCTCACAATGACCATGGGTCCCACATCAATGGATTCAACCAACCTTGGATTGAAAATGTTTGGAAAAAAATTCCAGAAAGTTCCAAAAAGCAAAACATAATTTGCTGTGTGCCTGGCAACTATTTACAGAGCATTATATTGCATCAGGTATTATAAGCAACCTGGAGATGATTTAATGTATATGAGAGGATGTGCATAGGTTATATGCAAACACTGCACCATCTTATATAAGGGACTTGAGCATCCGTGGATTTTGCTATCTGTGGGGGGCCCTGGAACCAATTCCTTTGTCAATAATGACAGTACTATTATTCCCATCTAAGAAGTGAGGAAATGGATTAACCTGAAATGTATAAGAACAAAACTCTAACTCCAGGAAACTGGAGAAAATCTATCTTTGGAATTTTCTAACATAATATCCAGGGGGCACCATCATGATTTCAGCCCCCAAACTCCAGAAAACCAGCTGCTGATCATGTCCTAATCTTCCCATTGGTATTTCTGTTCAGTCTCCCAGTAACCCCGTAATGCAGGTGGGGCAGGTGATGCAGTCTCGTTTCACAGATGAAGTAAGTGAGGCGGGAGGGGAGGGGATTGCTATGCCCGGGGGGAACAGCTGGCTGCCTGGCCAGCAGACTGGAAGCTCCCTGTGGGCACAGACTGCATCTGCCACGTCCTCTCCGTGTCCCCCGTGCCCAGCCCTTGGGCCTGGCCATGGGCAGGCCCTCGATACCTACTTCCTGAATGGATGAACAACGCTGGCACTCCTAATTGGGACCAGCACTGGGCTCAGACCTCCCAGCCCTGTGTCCCTTCTGCCAGCCCAAGCCAGCCAGTAAGTGGGGAAGGCCATGCCATGGCACCAGCGAGTGTGACCAAGCCCCCACCCAGCCTCCCCGACACCCCGGGCCCTCGAGAGGGCTGGCTCCCACCCACAGGCCCCAGCGTCCTTCCTTCCTGCACACAAGTGGCCGGACCCTTCTCCAGCACAGCAGGCTGCCCCGGGCAGGCCTGGCCCTCTCCCATGTCTGCAGATGAGCTGGGGTGAGGCCTGCTCGGAGGCTGGGGATGCACGTACCACCCTCGCGAGGCAGGAGGCCGAGGGCATGCGAGCATTAACACTCACAAGGGGCGCCTGGGTGTCTGTTCTTAACTTCAGGTCCCTGAATGGGACCCGACAGAACTGAGGACCTCCAGAAACTGGGGCGTTTTTTTTAATTTTTTTTGAGAGAAGGAAGAAAGCTTTTATTGGGTTCTCTAAATGCTCTGTGATCCTCCTCAAAGTTAAGATCTCTGGGATGCTGAGATGAGGTAGAAGAAAATCTGGAAGTCACCGAATCCAGTGGACCAGGGAAGCCAAACCCAGGTCAGCTCTGCCCCTCAGAGGCTGGCATTTTACCTTTTCTCCCGTGGGTACTGAGTCAGGTTTGTGGAGTGCTGGCCAAGAGCTTCTCTCTGCATCTTGTCATTGGATTCTTGAGCCAAGCTGCAAGGGAGGTGCTACCAGATCCACCCCATGAGACAGGAGATGGGCGCAGGCGTGAGGAGCAGCCTGCCCAGAGCCACTCGGCTTAACAGTGGCCTAGCAATCCTCCCGGTGGGGGCCTATCGAGGGACATCCTGAACAACTCTGGGATATAACCAGCTATGGCTGGGTATCCAGAGAGGAGAAAAGACCACGGGCCACCACTTCTTGAGCTCTTGGCAGGTTCCGGGAATTCCTACTCGTGGTAGCCACTCCATCGTCACTGTAACCATAAGCTGTGTTGCTATTCCCATTTCACAGGGACGGAAATCAAGGCCCAGGCTACACAGCCCATGTGTGGTAGAGGCGAGATTTGAACCTGGACATACCTGATTGCAAACCCAGACTCTTCTCTTAAGTCTGGTTGTCCCTTTTGTGGAAGGTATACACAGAGCTTACGTTTAGACTCAGGTAGACCTGAGGGAAGAGTCACCTCACCTCTCCCAAACTGTGTGTCCTTGGGCAAGTCTCTTTCATTACTGTGAACCTCCACTTCCTCACCTGCAAAATGGAATGACAACTCCTACCTGGCAGTTCTGTGAGACAATGAAGTAGGAACCGCACATGCTATGCTCCATATCCTTTGATTCACCTCCCCTAGAGATGAGACTGGAAGCCAGGGTCTACAAGCCTGAACTGACAGTTTAACTCTGACTGCCTGGGAGCACTGCAGACAAAGACCCCTTGGGAATATTTCACCATGTCTTTTGTCCATAAAAGCTGGGGAATGTTGACCAGGCACAAATGCTGAAGGCACCAGGAATGGAAATAGCAGCCAGGATGGGCTGCAGGCCCAGAGCAGATTTATACTTATCCTGCACCTTTCCAAAAAATCCATGGGTTGGCAAGGCATTCCCTTGTGATGTTCTGATTCAAAAGACTTACTGGGGTCCCTGATGAAATGTCACCCCCCACACTTCTGTAGGCTGTCTCTGAGAAGCTATCTTCACTTATGCTGTGCTTTTCACAGGAAACGATATTTATTACAGAAAGTTAAGTTTATCACCTGTGGATAGTTAAGCCATTAGTCCTGAGTGAGCAGCTCACTTTGGGTGACCTCCAAACTTGATTCTGCATGTCGCTCTGTGAGTGTGTATAAATGGCTTGATTTTACTTGTTAGAACTCTGCTGCTTTCACCTTACAGGACTATTGAAAAACTAAGCTTTGTGTCTTCACCAGACTCACTTCCAGAAGGCAATGTGAGTCTCGCAAGCCCCACCTAATATTGAACCCATGAAAGCCTGGGTCACTACTGCTGCTCTGGGCAGTGAGTTACGCTCAGAGCTAAGAGGAACATTCGCACTCCTCCCAGAACTGTGCCTGGCTGGCACTTCTCAGCTCTTCCTGCCAGGGTGGCAGTGGACCCCCAAGCCTACCAGCTCTTGCTCCTATGACCCAAGACAGCCCAGGACCTGTGGTCTGTGTCCTCCACTCCCTCTACTGTGACTTCTCCATTAGACAGATCCCTTCTTTCTGCAAACACACAGGCATTTTCCCCCAAAAGGGCTTTTTGAAAAAAGCACCATGCGTAAGTCAGCGTTTCCTGCGGGTGCCATCCACTGCTGGTGTGATGGCCGGTGGGCAGGTGGTGTTGGATTCCATGCGATGTGCGCTGGACGGTGGGGGAGGCGCCGCCCGGCCCCTGGGAGCGCAGGCCGTCTGCTGCAGGAGAACGCGATCAGACCCTGGTCCCGACACTCACGAGCAACGGGGCCTCCAAGGGGCCCGCCTCACTCACGTCCCCGATGGTCGTGAGCACACCCGCCTTTGAGGACAGGACACACAGTCCCCACCTCGGGGGCTCACCGTCTCCCGTTCACGCGCCATGGGGAGCGTAGGGCGTTAGGGAATTCAGAGGTGTGCGTGGCCGGCTTCCTTCACCTGTAAAACTCACCTGCACCGCCTGTGGTCACTGAGGAGGCCATAAGAGGTAAGGCCTGGCAGGGGCTCCACTGAGAGAATCTAGTTTCATTTCTACTTAGCTTTCCCGTACTTGCTCCTGGGGCTGGCTGGCCCAGCAGGAAGGAGGGCTGTAAGAACATGCTCGAGGGAGATCCACAAACCAACTTACTCTCTGGGGGGGTTCAGGTCCTCCGGTCTTGTTTCAAAGAACTGCAGCACCTCATCACACTGGGAGATATACGGGGGCAGCTGGATCAGGGCCTGGGGGAGAGACACGCAGGCAAGCTCAGCGGAAGGGAAGAGCGGTCAGGATGCAGAAAGTCAAGACTCCATCACGATCACCCACCCCCCAGACTTTCAGACTCAGTAGGTCTGGAGTGGGGCCTGAGAACGTGCAATTCTAGCAAGTTTCCTGGTGATGCTCCACTGGCTGGCTTAGGGAACACACACACACAGAATATACACACACACATATATTACAGGCATACTTCGACAAATAATATGTACATATTTAGACAAAACCATGAATTATGAACAAGGTCCTACTATATAGCACAGGGAACTATATTCAATATCTTGCAATAAACCATAATGGAACAGGATATGGAAAAGAATACATATATATCTGCATATAGCTAAACCACTTCGCTGTAACCAGAAGCTAACACAACATTGTAAATCAACTACACTTCAATAAAAATGCCTTTAAAAATTGTGAACTTCGTGCCCTGTTCTCTACATCACCATCTCTACGGGATACTCAGTGTCTGCTGGATAGAAATCTCATGTTGGATAGAAATCTCATGCTTGACTCAACCAGCTGCCTACTGATTGGTGACGTTTACATTGCCTCCAACATGACATGCTCGCATGTCCTAACTCGTGGATCTGAAGGGCTCAAGTGAAGTGACTATTTCATGACTGAGGCAGAGGTCAGAGAGGTTGAAATACCCAGGACGTCCCAGTGCTCATGTCCATGTTCATCTGCCCCCTTAGTTTATCATTTTAAGGAGCCTCAACTCTCCCAACCAGCTAGATAAGGAGGTGGTGGTGGGGGGGGTGGGGGGAGACACAAAGTGGACCCAGGCATTTCTTATGCAATTTATCTACTAACAGCTATTCAATGACTCAACAGACATTTACTTTATGCCCAGCACTGACTGATTTCTGGGTCAAACAGGACAGAATTACAGGGTACATCCCATCAGGAAAGGATGTGAAACAAAGACCATGGCTCCAAAATGAATAAACAATTTAGCAAGTATTCACTTAAGCCCCCTCTGGCACAGGTTCTGAGGATGCAAATTGAGTGCAGTAGAGCTGTTTCATGCACATACTTTATTATAACCTCGTGAGCGGGGAGGGCCAGTGCAGACACGGGAATTTAAGCAGCATGGGTGTGCTATGGGGTGAGGCGGGACCCTGCTCTCGCTGCAGAAGGCCTCATTCCCTGGGGTTTCTATGCCTTCTTACCGTGCTGAGTGTGGAGTCTGGAGTGGAAAAGGTTTGTCTCGTATTTTCTGTGAAACAAGGCTCTAAAAGCCATCCCCACCCAAAGTGACTTTCTAACCCTACCACTGGACGATGATGGACTATGGAGAGATGGCTGTGGGGGGTCTCCAGTGTGGAACCTTCTACAGCATTTTCAGGGGGTATTTTGCCCCTACATGATTTATCTTCCTGGTTTTAAAGAACTTTCAGTTGTGGTAAAATATACATGATCTCATTACCACCTTCATCATTTTTACGCACCATTCAGGGGCATTGAGTACAGTCACGCATCACCACCACCAATCCCCAGACCTCTTCTCATCCTGGGAGACTGCAGCCCTGCTCCCATCAAATGACAGCTCTGCACTCTCCTCCGGACCTGGCAACCGCCACTCACTTTCTGTGTCTGGGAAGTTGACTGCTGCAGGCACCTCACTCATATGAGGGCAATCATGCAGTACTTGTCTCCTTAGGACCGGCTGGTTCACTTAGCATCACGACCCCAAGGTTCATCCACATAGTAGTATGCAGTGTGTGTCAGAACGTCCTTCCTTTTCAAGGCTAAATCGTATTCCATTGTATGTATAGGACACGTTTTGTTAATTCACCCCTTGAGATTCCATTGTGTTGCTGATCCAACAGGACCTGTGAATCAGGCTCTGAGTTTAAGTCTCCTCCCTTCTCCTGATGTATGACCTGGCCCAAACCTAAAGGGGAGCAGTGGGTGCACATGTTTCAGGAGTGTGCCTTCCCTGGCCACTGTCAACTTTCTACAATGGGTAAGGAGAGAAGGATAAAGGATGCTGACTTGAAGGGCCTGGTATCTGTGACTCACTGATATTTTTTATTAGCCTTGCAGGATCTTCTGCCCTGCAGCAACTTTCCAGGACCAGTCTTACCCAGGCCAGAGGTAGAGAGCTCGAGAGGGAGAAAACGGTATCACCACCCGCCCCCTCATTTCTGACCCCCTTCTCTTTCTGGTTTGGAGCAGTATTTATTCTTCTGCTATCCTGGGGCTCCCTGTGGGTCGCTCTTTCCTCTGAAATCCTGCAGTTCTTGCAGCTGGAACCACATAATGAAGGAGCTGATCGTATGCTGGACTGTGGTGCGTCCTGGCTGCCTCGTGGGCAGAAATCTTGTGGCTCCCCCAAGACTGCAAACACAACATTCCCTTTCTGTGGGCTCAGCACTAGACGGCTCCTAAAATACATCTGTCTGCATCATGTCATATCATCCTGCGAGGGCTGGCCCACTCTAGAGACGGGGAAGTGGAGGTTCTGGGGAGGTGAACTAGGATGTGGGGCCAAAGGAGCCGACTGCAGCTGCTTCACCTCAAATCTACGGAGGGCTTCCTCCTGCACCTTCCCCAGGGGCCTCAGTGCCGAGAGGGCCCTGGCACCTGGTCCAAAGTGTCTGCTGGATGAATGAGGATGAGGCCTGGAGGTGGCCACGTGGCCCTGGGCGAGCCCTGAGGTGGCCAGAGTCTCTGCCTAGAGGGGGCCTGTCTGCCAAAATGGGCAGAGATGCCAAAGGGCCAGTGAAGAAGGGACAACAAGGCCCACAGAAAACAAGACCAGGTTCTTGTCTGTTCCCAAGCAATTCCTAAGGAGGTAAAAGTCCAGCCAAACCCCCGAGGCATAAAATAAAGCCAAGTTACTCATAAAGGGCGGCTCTGAATGCTTTGATACTTCCAAACACACGACCCAGGGCACAGCAATAGTTCTGCTTCTGAAATACCCCAGAATCATCTCATGTTTGGTCAGTAATGACAGAGAACCACAGTCCCAGGAAAACTCTGGTTCTGTTCCCCGGGGAAGGGACAGATGTGGCTACTTGTCATAGGGGCACAAGGAGAGGTGAGGAGAGCAAGTCCTGCTTGTCTGTGTAATGTCAGACAGGTCCTGGGTCTGCCCTGGCCACATTCTAGCACCTCCGAGCTTCAGTCTGCTGTCTGTAAAAGAGAAATAAGTAACACCCTACCTGGAGGGTTGTGTGACAGAACAAGTGAGCGAGTATTTATCATGTATTAGCCGCTTGATAAACATGTGGTTAACTCTTGGGCCCTCTGGACTGTACCAAGAGCAACAGTGTGCTGCTTCCAGGGGTGACTTTGGAGTCAGCAAGGTGATTCAGTTCAGGAACAATGCCTCAGCTACAGAGAGAGAGTGTGCGTCTTCAACAAAGTTCTAAGCGCACAGCACAGTGCTGTTGGCTGCGGTACGGCAGATTTCTAGAGTTGATTCACCTTGCTTGACTGAAACCTTATGCCTATTGATTACTAACTCCTCATTTTCCCCTCACCACCAGCCCCTGGAAACCACTGTTTCACCTCTTCCCTTTTTAGGTCACGCCCTGCAGCATTCAGGATCTTAGCTCCCCAATCAGGGGTGGAAACTGTGCTCCCTGCACCGGGAGCGTTGGAGTCTTAGCCACTGGACGGCCAGGGAAGTCCCAACCATTTCACTCTTTGACTCTACAAGTCTGACTATTTTAGATGTCTCAAGTGAGTGGAACCATACAGTATTTGATCTTTCTGTGACTGGCTTATTTCACTTAGGACAACGTCGTTAACTCAAGGTTTATCCCTGTTGCTGTGTATTGCTGAATTTCTTTGTATAGGCTGAATAGCATTCCATCGTATGCACAGGCCACATGGAGGTTGTTTCTACATCTTGGCTGCTGTCAACAGTGCCGCAATGAACATGGGTGTGTTAATACCGCTTTCACATCCCGATTTCAATTCCTTTGACAAATACCCAGAAATAGGATTGCTTGACTACACGATAGCTCTATTTTTAATTTTCTGAGGAGCCTCCATACTGTTTTCCATGCGGCTGCACTTTGCATTCCAGCACGGAGTGCGAGGGTGCCGATTTCCCTGTATCCTCACCAGCATGTTGTCTGGTGCCATTGCTGTTTTTGAAACCAGCCATCCTGACAGATGTGAGGTGATATTATGTTGTGGTCTTGATTTGCATTTCCCTGATGATTAGTGACACTGAGCAACTTTTCATATACCCATCGGTCACTTGCGTATCTTCTCTGGAGAAATTCAAGCCGTTAGCCTATTTAAATATTGGACTATTAGCTCTTTTTGTTTAATGAGATGTATGAGTTCTTTACATATTTGGGGGATTAACTTCTTATCAGGTATGTAATTTGCAAATATTTGCTCCCATCTGGTAGCCTGCCTTTTTATTCTATAGATAGTATACTTTGTTGTGCAGAAGTTTTTTAGTTCAATGCATTCCCACTTCTTTATTTTTGTTTCTGTTGCCTGCACTTTTGGTGTCATATCCATGAGATCATTGCCAAGGGTGCTGAAATAAAGCCACGCATGTGGTAAACTGATCCTCAGCAAAGGCGCCAAGAATATATACAGGGACAGGACAGTCTCTTAAACAAATGGTACTGGGAAAACTGATACCCATATGCAAAAAAAATGAAATCGTGTCCTTATCTTATACCATGCACAAAAAGCAACTAAAAAATGGACTAAAGACTTAAACATAAGACTGAAACTATACAATTGCTAGAAGAAAGTGCTTTCCCAGCTTGCTTCCCACGAGCATGACCAGGCTTTACAGACTTTCCTCCGGTAGTAGGTAACAGCAGCTGACTAGATTTAAAAATATTTCTCGTTGCTGTTGCATCACTGATTTAATTTTTACTTTCGGGGTAAGTGAAATCAGTTTTATATTATGATTGTGATATAAAATTTCCTCTAAAATATATATTCTTTAAAAAGTTTAAAAAGTGAATTAATTAAA